TTATATCGTCTCTCAGGATAGCAAGTAAGTGATGAGCTTTCGTTTACTGCAATGGCTCGAAACTAGAACAAGTCAATAGTCCATAGATTGCTAAAACGTAAGCTGAGGAGTCTATCTACATTGCGGCCAGCGCTCTACTCTATATACTCCTCCATCGAACACAAGGGGTGCTACTAGTTAACCTGCGCAGAGGATCCGACGGAGTATCTGCAGGGCCAGAAGCGGTAGCTTCCCTCTGGAGGAGATTGTACTTCCGTTTGCTTGCTGCCGCGAGTCAGTCATAGGCGTTGCCTCCTGAGTATGTGGCTGGCACATGCATTTCTTGTGCCATGGCAGAGGAAATGCATCATCCATCACAGATAGTACTGTTAGAGAGTTGAATCTGTAGATCTTGACATATTTATGCATAAGTTGATTTAGGATAGGAACAAGCATATTGTATAATGGCTCTTTTATCTTTTTCGGACGTTACAGAAGGTCTGCCCGCACGCGAGATCGATTTGTGGAGGTTGCGTTATTCAGATAGTTTGTAGGTATATTGGACGGTTGAGGGCGCGAAATTAAGTATGCGACCAATTTCAGCGAATCTCACTCCACATTTGGCTGCGCCTACTATCTCTGCGCGCTCAATAGGCGTTAACTCATGATGAAGAGGCCTATTACCACTGAATTTCGCGTAGTGGCCTTCGTGGGGGCATAATTCGGTGATAGAATGGGTGGGTTGTGGGTGCAAAACGCGAAAAAACGCGAAAAACGCGAAATCAACGGAGACTTTTGACCGGGTACTGTAGATCAGAGCTTACTAGGGCACATCCCGCGAAATGCTACGTAAAGGCGGCAAGTACTACGTTAGTTTGGGGCACGCGCCTGCCCGGATTCGGTTGGGACACCCTCTGCACCCTGACGTAGAATGCGGAGTTTATGGCCCGACAACTTTGTTCAGACGTACGTAGTATGGTCGCCGAATCGCTTTGCTTTCTCGATTGCATGTTACGGCTGCAACGTAATATTGTTGCTATTTGCGTGTTCCTATGATCTCGATTACGGCCTAGAGAACATCCAGCCTGGCACTCCTTGAATGCGCAGCAGCGAGCAAAGGAGCTGGAGTCACCAGAATACATATTGATCCACCGCAATAACTCAGATCCAAGCTGGATTCTACAGCGAATGGCCCCCAAAATGCGGAGCGATTAGCAACTACTAGCTCTGAAGACTTCACTGTTGTGCTACACGAACCGAGCAATGAAGCCGAGGATGTCCCGTATGATGAGATAGCGGCCCCAGGGGCTCCACCCATTGGGCCCACGGCTATGTTCCCAATCAACTGCTTTGCAAGATATTAACTTTATTAGTAAGAGCTCATGTCCTGGAGAGGCTTAGCGTTGGCTACATCCACGCAGGTTATGGGATGACCTCTCGAAAGGTACTACTGGCTACGCCGTGAAGGTCGTCAGAACTGGATAACTTTTGGTGTTAGGGGTACTATGGACACATTTTTCTGCACATCACGGGTATGACCTTTCCATTGTGCAAGGTGTATAAGTGTACATTATCCCCAGAAGAGAGGGGGGAAAATACTACACCCTGTTTGGCTAGTTGATTGGCTCTAACTCCACTCATGGAGGACAAATCTTGGCGCCACAATTCTTTCTTTCAAACGGATGAATACAAGATGGATGGTTGATTACCACTGATCACCATGCCTCAGTCAATCACAAAATCGACCGGAAATACAACGGATATGTAGATTTGATGCACCATCTCACACATAAGCCGAGTCGAATGGGAGAAGGGAATGAATAACAACTCGATGAGCCGCATCTCTCAGCTGCCACCACAGCTACCGTTCTACCTCGTCACATGTGTTACAACAGGCTTAAGGTCGTCCGCGATCAAAATTGGATGCGGTTGATCGGCGCTGGGCCGAGCCGCTTTGAGTTCGTCCTCGTCGGGCGAGTTGTGCTCGCTCGGTGACTGATCCTGTAACTGCTCGGCACTACGACGACGACGCAGCCGATCGTCAATGTATCTGACAACTGCCAAAGACAGACCGACAGTGAGCACGGCGATGTTGATGCTGAATCCTCGGCGGTAACGTGGTCGGTCGTCCTGTCGGAAAATTTGTGCACCGTAGATACCAGCAATGTTGGCACCCATGATCACCCTGTATTGGAAACCGGCTTAGCAAAAATCCAAGCGAGCGACAGGCGAAGACTTACATGGCCATTGCTAGCGCTCGTTCCTCCGAGTCCTCGCAGGCGAGCGACATCCATGCGATGTTCAGTGGGTGTGAGAATGTCCCAAAGGTTTGTGTCCAGACCACTCCAAAGTATCGGACTCCCCGAAGGCTAATCTCGGTGAAGATACGGTTGAAGATGTAACCAAGCAGATGCATGCTGAAGCCAGCCATGACTGTCTCTCCCCGTTTATTGCTGTAGCAAACCATCAACATCAGCGTAGTTCTGGTATTTCCCAGGTTCTCAATCCAACTTGAACTTTGACTTACAAATGATCCGAAACGTAACTGAACGAGAAAGATGTTGGAATCTGCAGGAAGAGACCAACAGAAGCGAGTGCATTGCTTGTCAGGGAAGCGAAACCAAAGCTGTTGACGATCGATGGGGAATATGTGTCGAAGGCACGCTGAGGGCCGTTATTGCATAGTGTGATCAAGAAGTGCACCCATAGACGCCAGTTCGAGAACTAGAATGAGAGAAGAGGTCAGCAACAGCAATAGCAACAGCAATGGACAGGAGATTTGGGGTGGATAATTGACGGCGACCTACAGCCTTCTTGAAAGCACCCCGGCCGATGCGTTTCTTCTTCTTGCCTTTCATTGGGTCATCGAGTAGGACACGTCTGTTGAGGATGTGCAGCTCCCTCTCGGTGAACATGCACACGCCAGGCAGGAAGGTGCTGCGAGGGTTTTTGAACGAGTCAGGTAGGAAAAGTCCCAATATGCAACCACTGAAAACCGTGAATACTCCCATGATGACGAACAACCAGAACCACCCGGGCTTGCCTCCGACACCACGCATGTGGAGAATACCATATGCGAGTAGCTTGGAAGAAGCTTGACCGAATTGGTTACCAAAGTAGAATATCATGACTCGCTTTGCGGTTTCCCGTCGTGTGTACCAAGTTGAGAGGGTCCACAGTCCACCCGGAATGAAACCCGACTCGGTCATGCCCAGGAGAAATCGGGTCGCGATTAAAGGGCCATAACCCTTTTGGAAAGCTTGGAAGGTGCTGACGGTACCGAAGAGGAAGAGCTGGAGAGTGAGCCACTTTCCTGGGCCGACTCGGTAGAGGACCATATTGGAAGGGATCTCGAAAAGCACAATACCGAGTGAAAGCATCTGCTGGCCGACGTTGAATTGGTCTTGTGTGACGCCGACATCTTCCATGAAACGATCCGTGATGGCGTTGGCGATGTTGCCCCGGTCAAGTTCTGTCATGCAAGGAATTCGAATGAGTTCTGTGAAACTGGTGCACGTGGACATGCACATGGACTTACGCAAGCAGAAAAACCCGAGAGTGAGGAGCGGCATGATGATGAGATCCAACCTGTATAGTGGATCTGTGTTGGTCCATGGTCCCCTGAAACCTGCTAATACATGCACACTCACTTCCGCTTCGCCTTGACCTCCTCATCCTCCGTCCAGTCACGCTGCAGGGTAAGACCCTCCTCATCATCCCTGGGGAGGGGGTATTCGTCCGGATTCGTGGATTTGATCTTGAAAGTTGACATGGTTGCTGACTGATGGTTGCGGTTCCGATTGAGGAAGTCCCGCCAGAAGGGAAATCCGGATAGCTGGCTTCCATTATAACCTTCACAGTGTCGCCCACTTCACCAAATTACTGTACAGCCAAGTCTAGAGTGCCTAGGCAACATGGTGACATATATTGACCTGAGCACGCAATTTTGACCACTGTACATTGACACATTTTTGGCAAGGGGTGATAGGTGTCTTGGAATTTTAGCTTAGGTACTAGCGCTCAACGCAGCGAAAAGCCAATTGAAGGTTGTCTACTTGTGGCGCTTTGGGGCTGAACTCTTATCTACTGGCGCGTATTTACTCCGTAGACTACCATAGCTACAAACAAGCCACATTATGTTGACATTACCGCCTCCGATTTACAACAGTGAGAGTTGTGAAAGATAGTTGGCAATTATTTCAATCATCGACCCTACAAATGCAACGAATTAGAAGACCGCTTTGCTTATCTTTCTCAAAAGATGATTCTGACAGCCAAGACTTGGCGATCGCGAGTACTAAGTACTACTACTAATGCTCTTGTGGCCATCAGAATGGAGGTGCAACGGCCGAAGAAGAAATGTCCAGACCTTGGACATCTGTTGAAATTATGACGACAGCGGCAACAAGAGCCAGGCTACAGAGAGAACACGTGACGATGGAGAAAACTCGCTGTCTTATCTGCTTGTTGAAGTGTCATAAATGAACAAATTAGTTGATTTAATTTGAGTATGAAGCGTCTGACGTTGTGTAACAGTAAGGGAAGCCAATCTATCCAACCCCACCCCACATGAGCAGCCTTACGAGATAGAGAAGAAAAGCACGTGGTCTGTCTGTTAAGGAGTTGAGAGCGTAGAAACACGTCTCGCTGCAGAACTTGCTCTGAATTTTGCACTGGAAATTGACCAAACACACGCAGGCGAATAGCAGGGATTAAACGTGGGAAAAAAAAGGCGAATAGGCGCACATACAGCCTGACAGTCCTTTACCCAGGGGCTGCAGCTGGTGACAAAATGTGGCCCTCCTTCTGCCGAACCGCGGAGAAATATACAAAGAAAGACATTCAGATCGCAGAGCCACACAATGGGCTTCAGGCGGAGGGCGATGAAGCCGTGGAGAAAGAAGATGAGGAGGCCAGATCATCTGCCGGGGGTTTTCTTTGTCCTGCTTGCAAGCATGCTACGGAGTCTTCCACAGGAGAAGGACGATCTCCTACAAAAAGTCAAGTCGACGAGGCAATGATTAGCTCTTCTATTAGATGTTGACCCCTTTGGGCTAGCTGTCGGGGAATTCCTCCCGCATCCTTAAGACGGACATGCATTTCTCGTAACCTCCAGGATTATCGAAAAGCCCAGTAGTGTGGTCTGACACAATCCAGTCTGTACATCACGAAACCGCCTTCTTTTGAGTTCAAGACACGTGTCGGGAGAACGAGATCGAGGATTTCAACAAGGATTGGTCAATGTTAACCCAAAGCCCAACCAATGACGTCGCCCTGCGCGAAGAGCTCTAGGACTAGTTAGGCATTTCGAGAAGCCTTTCGTGCTCAGCTCCCCTTTAGCGACCTTTCTCCTCGTAAGTATGGTGGTAATAGCCTGGATTGAAGACACTGGGCCAAAGAGGCCAACGTGTGTTGAATTTTCCAGTTCTGCAACCTGTTCCGTCGCCTGGAGTCTCTTGTCAACAGGGCAGTTGGATTTTGTGTGGCGCAGGCAGTAAAGCATACTGCACTGTGATTGGTCAAGCTCAATTGTAGATGCTTAGTCAGTCACCCATGCAGGGATAGGCTACGTTCAAGCCTTTTAGCCGATATTAGCCGAGTTTGGCAAAGAGCATTTATACCAGGCCCCCATTGTGCATGCTTTGCTGCTAGATGACAAACAAGCAGAAGATCTTGATCGACAGAGACGAGGCTACTGCATGTTAACATCACAATAAAGCGGCATCCTTTCCTCGATATCATGCTGGGTACGCGGTAGTGACCAAGCATATCCCGATTCTGGGGAAGAGCTGAGGAAGAGCGGAAGAAGCTCCTCATAAGGCAAACAGACTTTTCTTCATGACCCTCATCACTGAGCGAGAACGTCTCTTTCCGGCGTCGTCCATCGACCTCAAATTCCGGCGGTCACTATGAGTGATGTCTGCGGGAGCAAGAGGGTTGCAGAGGCCCCAATCTGATAACACGTTCTTCTTGTTGTTTTAGTGGTGGAATTCCAGAAAACTTTCCGAAACAGTCTGGCTGGGTACGCCAGGGGTGATCTAGCGGAGAGACAAAGAAACGCTAACCTCTTTATCGACAGCTTCGCTGTTGTCATCTTGGCGGAGTTGAAGAGCTCTGCACTGGGAATGGTGCGTTCCGCCTGGGGTGCCCGGTTCAGTGTCGATTGTGGGCTTTGATCACATGGCCTACCCATCTCTATTATTCCGCATATCGTTTGCGTGTGACGTAGCATATGCATCTTGTGCACCTTCCAGTTCAAGCTTGCGGGCCTGACCCAGCTTCCTCGATGAACGTAAGGAAATTGAATCCAGCATGCAGAAGTGCCAGGGAGGACACCCTTTCATTATAGCCCGGCGTTTGAGCTACGATCACTGATTAAGTGATGTCTCTTCTGCGCGTCCCCTGATATGCGAGCTGCCTGTGAAGTTCTGCCACAGTTGAGATAATCTCGAGTGTGGCTTCTCAAACCGTTCGGTGCTGAGAAAAGCCTTTCCTCTTCGTAATCCTCCTTACGCTGTTCGGATGCCGAGGCGAGCACTTTTTGCTCTTTCACTTTTTTTTCTAGCTGGCGCATTATCATCTCACTTTTCTTTAACGCCTGAAGAGCCTCTGCGGCATGGGCTGTATCTTCACCCAGTAGCTGCTTGCTGGTTTCTAGTACCCTTTTTACTGGATCCACGCCTCTCTATATCGACCTGACATGCAATATATAAGCGCAAGAGAAAGTGTCATGTTAAAAGTAAAAACATGCTCCTCAGCTAGTGTCCGTTTCGCCGTTTCTACCACTACTTCCATGAGCCGCAGCTGCTCCTCATGTTGATTTAACGACGAGTAGCTGGAGGCGAGATTGGCCATCGAGGTGAGGGTGACAGGATCCTTCTCACCCAGCGTATGCTTTGACATCTCTAGAAGCCTTTTCCTCAATTGCAATGCCTCTACCTCTCGATCTACCCGACTATAACTGCGTGCGAGATATCCTAACGACTCAAGTGTTAAGGAGTTCTCTCCACCAAAAGTTTGCTTTTGCATGTCCACCACTTTCTCTATTAGTCTTGGCGCCTTTCCTGGCTGGCCGTGCTCGCTGTAGATGGCGCAGGAAACCCTTGCATAGGCTGAACAGAGATTTGCTAGTCCAGGATCCACTTTGCAGAGATGAAAGATCCCATTTTCATGTAATGCAAAGCAGGCATCCATATGTGGTATAAGCGATCTTCGGTAACGATACTCCTTATTTTGGGTGTCCGCCGGAATGAGCATTGCCATTGTTAGAACTGTTGTTGTCCAGATTTTTCCCATTTCCGAGTAGCACATACGGTCTCGAGCCCACGTATGTATGAGCGGAGGGATTAAAATGAGATCATATTTATCACGACTAATCAGGGAATATGACGACAGAGTCCGCACGGCTTTTCGGAAGAAACGAGGGTCCCATTCCTTTACTTCGATCCGAAGGAGTCTGGCAGGTCGATATCGTAGGAGCCTTTCTAAACGTGCATCTTCTGGAGAAAATCGCTTCCAGGCTTGCCAACCCCTGTGAAAAATCTCTTCCGAAATTCCATCCTAACGTAGAAAGCTGTGATAGTTCAAGCGCGGCACGCCCTACCTCATCTTGCATATTCTCGATCATTAGAAGTGCTAATTCCCATATGGTGTATACTGTATATAATAGTCCCACTACCCTGCACCGCTCTCTCAGTCATGAGTTCTTTTCGGCGACGGGAGAATATGTCTCAAAATTCTTCCAACCTGCAAAGACCTTGTCGGGTCAACGCACCAGCCTGAACGATAGCTAAGGCTAGACATCCTAGGGTTAAGACGACTTTTATCGCAGTCTCTTCGGTCGGCTTTGTTGGTAGATGAGTGTTACCAGTCGTCGCCAGCAGCAGCGTAACAGCTTCTTGCGTCTGCATCTGATCGACCTCGTATGACCCAGCTGTCACGTAAATTCTCCATTCGGGATTCCGTATTGTCATAATAATCGTTCCTCGATTTCCACATGGAAAGTATGGGGATATGTCCAGCTTAGGATCATCTGCATTATTAAGAGCCCGATTCCGAAAGGTTTGAGAGCCATCTTCGAACGACATCTACGCCCCTTTCAAGTCCACACACTTAAGCAATGTTTGAAAAGCCGCGTTTGATATCTGCATGAACTGTTTGCATCATTCCAGAATATGGCCCAGAATCAGGAAGTTGGTCAGTACGGACATTGACCAAGCAGAGCCCTGAAGTTGGTCTCATTTTTCGCGATTATCCTCTGCGAACTTCAGGCATATTTGCGTCTTGCCCGACACGCCTAGTCCGTAGATAACCTATCTCTTTTATCGTTTCTGTGGATCTGGGCTAGGCGGTAGGCACTTGGTCTGTAGTCCCTCACAGATTTCTTTTTGTCCCTGAAGAGCGGACTAGGATCGCGTGGAATCTCATAGTCCTTGTTGTGGAAGCGGGCAACGGGAGGAGCAGAGTCTATTGAATCAAACATAAGCTATCTCGTAGTAATATGCCGCCAGAGTAGAACGACGAATTTTACTCACTAGCATAGTAGTTCTACACCTGAGCATATCCGTCCACGCGGAATTGTTGAGCTGCAGGTCCTCTGGTTGATGTTGATCCCATCATGAAGCTGATTGTGTCCACGTGGCTCTTTTCAGGGAAATCGGTGAGGATCTCTGACGGTGAAATTTGGCAGAGCAGAGAAAGCAGGTCGCTGCTCCGACCATACTCTCACCACAACAGTCAATGAGCCATCAGAATCTGAAGGAATACGATCTTGGAGCTCCATAAATGAGATGGACACGACTAGTGACGCGTTTGGAGTAGCCTTGTCGTTGGCGCATTGTTGGATATAATAAGTGAATGGGGGATGGGGTACGGAGTACCTGTGCAGTTCTCGACGAAGCGGCGCAGCCTTGCGGACTGGTGCCAACCACCATCCCGCCTGCTTGGGGCCCAAAGCCTATACCTCTTCAAGCACACTCACTCGGCGCGTACGTAGTACAATCTTGCCTTTTAGTAGTGCGGGTATCTGCCCAATCCTCTCGTACTACCCACAATGGAGACTGCGGGTTTGGCTGTCAGCGTCGCAGTCTCGCAGGTGTCTGCACTGCTTGCGTCGACTTTTTCGAGTATATTCAGCTGGGTCGGAAATCTGGGCAGGACTATGGAAAGTGTCTGCTCAGGTCAGATGCTGCAAAAGCACGCATGGCTCGCTGGGGAGCGTCTATGGGAATCGGGACTGAGCTACAACAACAGAGTCGTATCTCAAAACAAGAATTCAACCTTGTGAAAAGATCTTCTCGAACAGATCAAAGACTACTTCGAAGATGCCGAGCATCTTTCGGAGATATTCAAAAATCGCACCATAGAGCTGGCAAAGCAGTCTGAAGACTTATTGACTTATGATCCGCAGTCTGATCTGGACCCTGAGCTCCAGCGACTGCATCTCACAATGCGCGAGCTTGCAATCAAACGTCAACGTAGCACCAACCTACTCAAAAAAACAACTTGGGCACTATACGAGAAGAAGAGATTCGACACATTGATTGCGGAAGTCACTGGATTTGTTGACAAACTAGTGGATTTATTCCCATCCATTCAAGACAGTCAAAAAACTCTATGCAGGACAGAGGTTTCAGCAGTCGGGGACACTGGTGATCTGGCGCTGTTGAAAGATATTGCCAGCAGCGATGATCCATACCTGGAAGCAGCGGTAGTCAAGGAGATGGAGAGCCGTGGTCATGTGTTCACGGATTGGAAAGCCGACGGCAAATCGAAGATGTGGGCGGGAGATGAAAACGCCTTCGGGGTAGAAATCAAATGTCACTACTACAGCAAGTATTCGCTCTCTGGTGAGGCTGATATACGCCTAGGAAACGTGAACAGAGGACGGTGACCAAAGAAATGCGCTGGGAGCTGTGGAAGTGTTGTGGAATTACACATCCAATCTACGCTCCTTGGTGTGGAACGGTATGCTACGAGCGGCTACGCTATCCAATCTTTCGTGCATTACCCTTCTACCTTGTCTCCATGATGTGTATCCTTTCGAGGTGTGCCTCCTTTAGCAACCATCAACCTCCGTTTCCCTCCTGAGCCTTAGTGTTACTCGAAACCCAAGCAAGACCTCTCAAGTCGGAGCTGCCGGGCACGAGATAGGCCTTGGGTAATGTGGTCTGAGGACTGATCCGGCGCTTCCTGAGCTTCTCGAGAGTCAAAGTGAGCATGGAGAAGACCTACGTCTATTTGCGAACAGTGAAATTCCAAATGCAGCATTGAAGGCTTCATCACTATGGTACACTCGCAAACCATGTAGCGGTCATCCACTAATGAATTATGGCTTGGTACCAAGAGGACCGAGCACGTACCCAGCCCCCTGGTCATTGCTTCAATCTAGCCCCCAACCAATCTTTCAACATCCTCATCCTGGCCGATCTCGTTACTTTCTCCGTCGCCCAGCATCTCATTTCCCTCCCGCCAGCGCCACCGCTTCCCCATTACTTCCTTGAACCATCCGACATTCACGTCACCGCTAGTTATCTTTTCTGAAAAAGCCTTCGACCCTTCATCGGACTTCAACGGCTTCAGCACCACATCCACGTCCGGGGCAACAAACAACACCGCTGACAGTCTGCGCACACCGGCCATATGACGTACACGATGTCTCGCCGCACGGACTCGCCCACCGCTAAGGATTAAAGCACACCAGCCGCACAGCACGATCGTGGCGTCACCGGGTAGAGCAATCCACCGTCCTGGAGTGGCTTCATCTTCTGCCTCGAGACCCGCGTGGCCATCTTGGAAGATAATTGAGAAGGTACCGTAGTCTGTGTGGGCGCCGCAGCCATTGTCGCTCAGGGGAGCAGCTGTGACAGAGGTGTAGTCACATAGTCGAAAATTGAAATTTTGAGACTTGTGCAGGGAGGTGAGGTCAGCCACGGCAATCTCGCTCAAGGCTGAGAGGATGATAGGGACATGAGCCGCAACAATGGTGGAGAAAAATGAGAGTATCTCCTCGAGTCCATGGGCAGAGAGAGACGCACGAAGCTCGCCAGGGATCAGACGAGCACGGGCTGGAGAAAGATCGATTGTAAGTTTTTGGTCGGCCGTAGGATTGTCCAAAGCGGCGGTCTTGAAGATGCCACGCGTGGGATAGATGTCGTTGAGGGCGCGTGCGGAGGAAGGGTTAATGCAGAGATGGTCAAATAAGGCGCGAATAGCAGCGAAGGGAGCCGGCGTAGTGGGTTAGAGAAAAGCAATGGCGGAACTCAAGGCCGAAGACGTCGTTGATTGATCAGCTTTGGCCACGAGATGTGGTGGAATGGTTGGAGAAGTGATGAGGTCGAGATTAGCTGCCATTCTGCCTTAGTGAAGTTGTCGTGAGGGCCAAAGAGGGTGGATAAATTAATGACGGTATCAAGATAGAGCCCAGGACTTGTAGAGAGCTGCAGATATTTAAGCTCAGGAAGATCAAGACAAGAATATAAAACTTGCTACGTGCTGGTGTGCCATGTCAGGCTTATGTGGAGGTAGTAAGATTGATTGGGTCACAAACCAGCGCTAGTCCATTAACAGCATCTTGGCACATGCAAAGGGAGGGGTAATTCTACCTTTCTGCCTTCTTCCTTCCTCCTTCCTCCTTCCTCACATCACAATTCGATACTCTTGTCTTCCGCTACTCGTTAGCACGAGAAGATTTCAAGTATTTCAACCGCTACATGACTCATTGTCATCGGTGCTGCATATTGACAATCAATTACTGCAAAGCTAAGTTAGTATCGACTTAGCATCATTCACCCAATGCAGGAAATCTGCGTACAAATCTGCACTATTCCTGTAGAATGGCTGGAGGACTCTCTTCTACCGCTACGTTCACAGTACGACTTACATCAAAGTGATATCTCTGTGCCGTCCTCATTCGGACCCGCGAAGGTTCCCATACGCTTGTGGACATCATATTAGAACCCTCGACTACGATCACAAATCGTGTAGTTCACTCACGTACCCCAATTCAATATTGACTGTCAAGATAAGCCGGATCTGTTAGAATTGAGGTATGCCGGTACATACATCTGTTACAATCGGCAGCCGAATAATGCTCAGAAGACTTCACCTTCGCTGTTGAGGATTTAGAGGGCTTTAGGTATCTAGCGTTAGAATGGCTGATTAGTACTGCAGAGACCAATGCTTAAGCTGCCAAGGCCGAAGCACTTAGAAAACCGTCCCTGCAGAGCGACCGGGGATCAAAAGCTCCCAGCTACCAAGCTGTCGGCGAAGTCGCTGTTCGTGACACAACATCCAACGTCTCGTATCTTACATCCGCAGCATGCAACCTGTAGGTCTGTGATGTCGGACAGAACGAGCTCGGGCCTTCGTCCTGCCATCCCCTGGCATAGGAAGAAGGGTAAGAGAGAACTCCAATCCCAACAGCCCGTATCACCCACTGCGTAGCCTGAGATAGCAATACTAGACGTACTGTGTAAGGTAAGGAGCCCTCTTAATATCGCCACCAATACCGAGCTCCTGCTCTAATCGACCTCAGAAAGGGAAGTTTTAGTCTGGGTTAGTAAGCGGAAGCACACGCACCCGCTGCTATTCTGGCCACCCAGCTTCCCGATCCGGTTGCTGGTCACACACCGTAGCAAAACATGCAAATACCCGACGTTGACAGAAAAGGTCTCTCGATCTAGCCACGTGGATGCATGTTCGGCTACCAGGGTGAAACATGGCGAGTCAGCCCGCGTTCGGGATCCGCTAGATTGGAGTGACTACACCGGATGCGGGGAAGGAGATGCAGAGAGGCTACCAATATATATCGACTTTCCGGGTCCAGGATTGGTCCTAGAGCTCGCATTCAGCAGTGGTAGTAACGGTGGTGTTGGGGATGTTGGTGGAGGGTCACGATGTGTGTCGCTGAGCAACCTCTTCATAAAGGTGTCACCTGCCTATCTCATCTCTCTGAGTGCTTTAAGAATTTTTTATTACACCACCGTCACATCCATTCTCACCCGTCTTCAACTCCCCTCCCTACCAGACTCTCACCTACAATAGAAGCCTCTACACCAAGATGTTCTTCACCAAGACACTCTTCCCCACAGCTCTCTTACTCTCCCCTCTCATCTCCTTCACCCTCTCCTCCCCTCTGACCATCGAGCTCCTAACCCGGCAGACCCCAACCCCTCCCCCCTCCTACCCCAACGGAACCACCAACCCATTCTACCCCTGCGGCTACGACGCCGCCAGCGTATCCGCCTGTCCGTACCGATGCTACACCAGCTCCGGCTCCCTCCTCGACCAATGCTTCACCCAATCCACCGCCACCGCCGCAATCAACAGCCTGCACTCCATCTGCGTGAAATGCGAGATTCCCGACCAACCGGAAGACTACCCGGGCGGCTGCGAACCGCGCGGCCCTCGCGCTGCGGCTTCGAGAACCACCGCCTCCGCGAATGCGCCTGGAACTGCAACGCCGCTCAGGTGCCGTTCGACATCTGTGACTCACGCGACACGAGGGGCACGTTCCGCATCTGTGAGAGGTGCAAGCCGCAGTGCAGCAGTCCGCGGATCGTGTTCCAGCCGAGCTATCTGCCGAGTAATTTCAGTGTCGCCGCCGGGAGCTGTAGTGCGCAGTATGGCCCGCAGCAGAATGTGGCGTGTCCGTGGAGATGTACGGATGGCGGGAATCCGAATACGTATTGCTCGCTTGATGATAAGACGGATGATCGGTTTACGTCGTGTACTAGGTGCGGTTAGCTTGATTGGTTTGGAATAAGTGGAGGAGGGGACGGACGGGAAATTGGTTGAGTGGACGCCGGGTTCGGCTAGCAGAAGTGGCAGCTTTGAGGTATGTCGGCTCGAAGACTGGATGTGAGCTGAGTTCGGCCAGTCATGGGATAAGGTATCGCAATCAAGGACACGACATGGGAATAGCAGACAGCACAATCGAGAAATGTCATCAACCCAGCTCTTCAAACCTTCCCATGGACGTCTTCTCAGAACCAAGCAAGGAGAGACCATTCTCGTAGACTCGACGAGACCATTTTGCAGGAAGCTTAGACCTCCACCCCTTCGGCCCTAGTTTCGATATCTTGGGTCTTGAACCACCATCCCATCCACGCCTTTGGAGGCAGATATCATAGACCGTGTCCAATTAAGCTCGCTGGATCTGAAAACCCGCTATGCAACTTGAAAGGTCACCTATTGAACCAGTTCCCACCGATAAATATATGTATTATGTACCTCGATCTCATCCCAGTCTGGCGCTCTAACTCAGCTCTCCCGCATCGCCGCGTGCGTTAGACACTTAAGGAATGCAGAATGCCAAGCCGATGGCATTGAACCCGTTGCGCCAGTGCAGCTGCTCTTCATGGCGAGGGTTTGTTCGTGCCCCGTTTGGTTACCCGAGGTCGTCGACGATGCGAGAAGGGGGCAGCAAAGCGAATTCTCGAAGGTTGTATGTTTGCCCAAATCTTCGTATCGCTCACCACCAAGACGATACTCAAGTACACGGCCCAGTCTTTGCCTGTGGTTCATTTCCAAGATGTAGAATACAATTAAGATCCCGCCGGCATGGTCATGGGTCAGCGTTTCCGGTACTACCGAAAGCCACCCCCTCCGTCCCGAACCAATTCCATCCCGCATCCAAATCCAACCCGGCACCTAACCAAGGGAACCCATTATTCATCCCATTCATCATCTCCGGCCCGCCGGCCTCTACTCCTGGTGTCATGCCGGTTTGGAAATGATCCATGTTCATACCTCCGAACCCCATCGGCGGGACGGCCATGTAGCTATCGAAGCTGATGAACGGGTCGTCGGCGAAGTTGTTGTTGGCGTGGTTGTTTTGATTGCGTGCGGGTTCTGGCTGGGAGGAAACGTCGGTGTAAGAGAGGCTATTTGTAGTGTATGGCGATGGGAACAGGGATGTGGTGGTAGACGAGCATGAGGGGTCATTGGGAAGGGACGGTGGAGGGGGAACTGGAGAGGTTGACGCAGTTGCTGAGGGTGGAGTTGGCAGACCAGCATTTGAGGGTGCTTTCGCCCTGGGTGCTGGTGCTGGACCGCAGTTCTGTTGTCGCGGTCTTGCAGCGGATCGAGGATAGACGCCTGGTTTCGGAATATGGAAGTTCTTACCTGCGCCCACTCTCACAGTACCAAAGTAGGGGATGGACACTTTAACCGTTTGGCCATGATGTTCCTCATTGCAGCCATGCCTGGCTTCGGCAATCATTTCCAGAGCTTTCAAACTCTGCGCAGCGACTATACCGCCTGCTTCTTTGGACGCACCACGAAGTAGCTCGATGGTGGTGTCCACCAGAGCGGAGTCTGACTGGTCTTGTTCTGCATTTTTTTGAGAGCCATACGAATACCCATAGAGGTTAAGAAGGATGAGCATGGCCGCGCTGAAAGCCTGGAAATCAACCAGTTTGCAGATGAAGGGACCAACGGTCTCATTCCCTCGAAGGGCGTCGTAGAATCGGATCATGTCGCGGGAGGAATCGAGAGCGGCGGTATGTGAGTATTGGTAACGTTTGTCTGCTGATGATTTCAGCATGAAAGGAAGATGAAGCAGTTTGCGGACCAAATGGAAGTAGAATTGTGAGTGAAGGCGGTCATAGTGTTCTTCAAGTGTGGGAGCGGGAGCGTCAGTCTTCCCCCACCAGTCTTTGGAAACAGATTGAGCGAGCTCGTCCATCTCCTGATCAAGTCGAAGCGTCAAGGAGAAGTCGAGTGTTGGATTCTGGTTTCTGTCTGCAATCTTGGCGACGATGGGAGAGATGCGCAGCAGAAAGGCATCACCCTCTGTATGCTCTGTTGGCTGACCAAGGGCAGGAATGCAAGGATCGCAGAACTGCGATTGGATATTCAACGGCAGGCCTAGCGTCAAAGCAAGATACTGATCTCCCTGGAACAGATGTACCCAGAGTGACACTTGTCGCGTGTGCTGCAGATCTGGGTGAGCGGGTTTCATCAATGCCAGCCGGTGGAGTCCGAGAAGTTGGGCGAAGGAGATCGCTCGACGGGACACGAGCCACGCTCTTCTGGGTCGTCCAATGTTGATATAGTACTTGGCTTGCAAACACATACATTCAATCCCATCGACGGTTCCGGCAATTTCGTCGTCGGAAGTTATGAGCTGGTCAACGGTTGCAATGTATCGTTCCATCAATTCCTGAGGGGATCCATCCAGGTGCAGTTGGCTGAAATCCCAATCACTTGGCAATTGATCGATGCTGATGGCAATGCATAGAATCATCTTTGCGACTTCAGCGGGGTTCTCGGAACGCAGTGAATGTGATATGGACTCTTTGATCGTGCTACAACGACGATCTGTGATTTCTGGAAACATCTTTCGCCATATAGTCCACCAATTTTTGGACACATCCAGGATGATATCCAGCTCACGTGCGCCAGGGAGCATAGCTGTTAGAGCTTGCGTCAATGCCTTGTTTTTGTTGTACCGCTCTCGAGAGATCTGCGGAGGGTCGTCTTTGCGCGTGAATACAGCATTGTCGAACAAGCTGAGGGTTGGCGCATCTTCTCGAAGGCCACTCGGCAAGGGAAGGGGGGTTTCTGCTGGTGGGACTGTCGAAGTATTCCGAAGGCTTTTGAGAACTACTGCTGCTGGAGGAAGGTCAGTCTGGTCATGACACAATGAACCCCCGGTATGCATTACCACTGTGAGTGTCTGCAGCCGCGGAAGAGCTAGCAGAGGAGCTCCTGTCGCCGCCATAGGGCAGTCGATTAAGGACTTCCTTAACCAAGCCTTCTAACTGTGTTACTCTCTCGCGCAGGCTGTATGCCTGATCCGTTGCAGCGACTGAATTGACCGCTTGAAGGTCGCCATGTTCCTGATCAATGCAAGTAGACCCTCTTGCGTAGCACTCCTTGCAGACAGCAGTACTTCCAGGTTCGAAGGTGCATTTGATCTTGCGTCTTCTGCACTCTAGGCAGCTCTTGGTACCCTTTCGCATTTTCTTGCGAGGTGGGCCCTGCACATGCCCGCTATGTGAGGTGTCGTGGGTAGGTCCAGGCGGGGATTCGCTGTAGTGCGCACCCATAGTGGCAGGCTGTTTGAAACTGGGGGATCAGGATGGACGAAAGCTCGGAGGAAGGGCTTTTGTTCAGCATTAATGGGTAAAGAATCCAGGCTGCCGTATTTCGAGGCGGTCGACTCACAGCAGAGCGGAGGGTAGATGTACCGTGCGCATTGATTGAGCCAATGAGCTGTTTAGAACTCGAGCAGTAATGGTAGTAATGGTTGGTTTCATCTCGTTACTCTGTTGATCGAGGTTGTCGGGGGCGGAGATAAGGTCAAGACCGGCGTCTCAGAAGCACTGTCCTGACTGCCAGTTTCTTATCCCATCTCCTCGGCCAGAATTATTGAAATATAGTCTTAAGTCCCAAAATAAATTCCTCCGAACTTTTCGTCCGCCCCGGCCAATTCCTCCCTCAATTTCCCGATACACGATGCCCAGGTGCCAGGATCATCTGGAGTCTGGAGAAGGCATCCGCTTAACGTTACGGCTGTGAGGCTGTTAGCTTGCAGCCGCAATCGTCCTATTTAGTCTTTGTGTCACTTCGGCCGAGCAAACATCATGGGGAATCTTGTGCACCCATTCCAAACGTGGCATGCAAGAGCGAGCGAAGCCGCCGTAATCCCAGCCGTGCTAATCATGAGTGTTATGGTTCCAGCTACTGATACTTAGTACTGCGAGGATGAGAAATATGCAGCCACTGACATATGTATTCATCATGACTCATTCGCTGTCATGGTGGGCTCGCTCCAATATCGATACGAACGACACGGTAGCAGTTCAGCTTTCTTATCGGACCTTCGGACCCATGCCTTTACCCAGATTAGACATGCGTTTCAATGGGGGTACAGGATTTCATTTAGCCGCTATATAATGATCCTTTGCTTCTCTCTATTTCTACTTCACATATCTCATCGAATCATTTCAGCGTTCCCAATACAAAAGCTGCGTAATTCATCATTTGTATCAAAGAGTTCAATCCCCCTTACGCCAATATGGAATCTACTCACGCTCCAGCTCTGGAATATCCTGCACCTTCGGAGGTAGAGAAGGACCTCTCGTCGCACGACTCTTCCCACAGTTCTACAGCTTCAGACGCAGAGAAGGACTCAGCATCTGCCAAGCAACATGATGGCAACTCCCTATCACAACAGGTTTCGAGACAGTTGTCACACCAATTATCACGTATTGCTACTTCTGATTACCCAACTGGCCTCCGGCTCGCTATGATTGTGGTCGCACTCGTATTGACCATCTTCCTGATGGCCATTGATATGGTAAGTCTTGTCTTAAAAGCTCAGTTTATATGCATCTGTTCTCTGCTGTGGCTTCCCATTGAAACTTGCAACTGATTAAACTGTGTACAACCAGACGATAGTGGCTACCGCCATACCTCGCATCACAGATCAATTTCAATCCCTTGATCAGGTTGGCTGGTACGGCTCGGCATTTTTCTTGACCCTCGCTTCATTTCAATCGACATGGGGCAAAGCATACAAATACTTTCCCCTCAAGCTTTCTTTCCTCGTCAGCATTTTCGTCTTCGAGGTGGGCAGTCTCATCTGCGCTGTGGCCAACAATTCTACGACACTCATTGTTGGGCGAGCCATCGCCGGAGCAGGCGGGGCAGGCATAGCTAGTGGAAGGTAAGGTTTTCAGCTCGAATGTGCTTCATTCTGCTTGCTCACAGTTCAACAGCTATACCATCATCGCCTTCAGTGCTTCTGAGAAGCAGAGAGCAACTTATATTGGCCTTCTTGGGGCCGTCTATGGCCTTGCCAGTGTCGTCGGACCACTGCTGGGTGGAGTCTTCACTGACAAATTGAGCTGGAGATGGTGTTTCTACATCAACCTTCCCATCGGTGGTGTTTCCGCTGCCGTCATAGCCCTGTTTTTCACAGCACCACCGGCTGCGCGGCCTCAGAAAGCTAGCCTCAAAGAAAAGTTGCTCCAGATGGATCTCCCAGGCTCTTTGACCATCATGGCTGCTGTAGTTTGCTACCTTCTTGCCATGCAATGGGGCGGTACTTCGAAGGGATGGTCGTCCGGCCCCGTCGTTGCCACCCTCGTCGTCTTTGGTGTCCTGGTCATTGCCTTCGTTGGCATCGAGTGGTACAGCGGTGACCGTGCACTCATCCAGGCCCGCTTTCTCAAGGATCGTACCATCGCCGCACAATCAGCCTTCGTCTGCTTGGCGTCGGGCCTCTTCTTCATCGTGATATACTATCTGCCCATCTACTTTCAATCAACTCGAGGCGCTTCTGCCGCAAGATCAGGCATCAACAACCTACCTCTTGTCCTGGGTGTCTCCCTCTTCACTGCCGTCTCTGGTGTCCTGATAACAGTCTTTGGCCATTACATTCCTCTCATGATTGTCGGCTCAGCCATCTCGACTATCGGTGCAGGTCTTATCTACACCCTCGAACGAGACACTGGCTCAGACAAATGGATTGGATATCAAGCCTTCGTTGGTATTGGTCTTGGCCTCATCTTCCAGATACCAGTTATTGTCAACCAGGCTCTCGTCAGCCCTTCTGATCTCTCGTCCATCACTGCGCAAACCCTTTTTTTCCAGACCATTGGTGGTGCCTTCTTCATCTCGGCCGCACAAGCAGCATTTGCCAACAGACTGCTGGCCCGCGTTGTCATTACAGCGCCCACCGTAGATCCGGGACTGGTCCTCGCTACCGGTGCCACAGAGCTGAACGATTACTTCAATGCCGAGGAGCTTGATGGCATCATAATTGCCTACTTGGCTGGATTGAAGATGACTTTCGCGATTGGAATTGCGTGTGCTGGCGTTGCCTTCTTCCTAGCTTTCACACCAAGGTGGCAAAACTTGAAGGGCAAGGTGAATCCGGGTGCTGCTGTATGATCTATCGTTGTTCTGTCCTTCCAGTTCTTCTAGCTACCCAAGAGTGATGGGAAAAATCTCCCCTATATTAATATAGTATTTATGCGGCGTATCTGGGCATTTAAGAGGCCTGCTGTTGGAGGTCTTAAGATAGAATTCTGACCAAGATTTTTGGCTCTATCATCCCTGAAATTTTGGTCTTCATAGTCGTGAAATTGGCGGAGTTGTAACGTTTTTCGTATTCTTTTGCGACAATCGGCGTTTTTACCGACAAAATCAAGGTTTAAAGAGCCAAAAGGAGGGGTATCTGCTGAAGTAATGAAAGAATAGAAGAAAGAACCAATTTAAAGCAATTTTGCTTGATCTCAAAAGGAATTCAAAACAAACAGGTCAGAAATGGCCTACAAGACATAAAACTAGGCTCTGCGAATTAAGAGAGGAGCCAGAATCTATTCCCCGTGGGGAAGAACTTGGTGGATGCTCAGGGTCTACTCAGGCTAAGTTAGTGGAAATGAAGTTTGGAGAGGTTAAGATTGGTGTACGAGTCTAGGGGCATTTATCACTAGAACTTTTTTCTTTTTAAACTTTTGCTAGAAATTCGCCGTCAACAACAAGAACAGGTCTTTCATGAAATATATTAAAGTATCTATATGTAGGGGTATTTCGCTTGTGTTGCGTTTGACTGTAAATCGTCAGGTTCGCTTGACGCCGAATGCTTCTCATAGTGCGAGCGATTTTGCTGCATTTCCTGTTAGTACAAATAAACAAGGTCTTTGGATGTCAGGATTAGGAGTTTGAGTGCTAATCTTTTGAAGCCTGTCTGATTTCAGGAAGTAGGCCTCGCTGCTTTGAGCACAAAGGCTAAGCCAATGTGGGCGGTCGCAACGTTTCACGTCCGAGTTGATACGGTAGAATCGTTATAGAGGGAAGGGCTAGGTTAAATAGTCAGCTGAAGGTGTCAAATCTGGGCCCTCTAAAGATCCCCAAAATGGACCCCTTAGTGAAGGGCCAATTCTGCTATATTATATTTGACGGAGTTCGTAAGGTTCCGGATTTGGGACCCATTCATGGGATCCCTTGAATTGGGACCCTATTTCAAGAAAACATACAATTCTGCCTAAAAGTGGGGAATTTTCCAAAGCCGTTTTGCTTTTACTCACGCGTTTCAGTCAGTGGATCGATACCATCAAGATGAATTGAGAGAAGCGCCCACGCATGTCAAACTATAATGAGTATGCAACCACTCCCTAATAAACACGTAACGTTAACAAATCTCTAGAAATTATCCTGTAAAAAATGGGGCAGAAGAATCTGAGTCCGAGAGTACTAAGCTTCTTAAGGCTTGCTTGCCACGTGAATTATCGTTTCGACGACCTTGCTCTCTTTGCGGTCAGCCATGGTCTCCAAGTGCCACAGACCGCGTCTTAGACCAACTCTTTTGCTCAAAAAGTCCACAATGTATCAAATTTAAAGGCATTCTGGCAAATTCTTCCAGCCCTAACAGTCTCATCGTCGAGATCAACCACTACCACAGCGATCCTGTCAGCATATATAGTAACTAGTTGTGCGGCCTCTAAGGCCTCGGTCTTTTTGGTTTGACAGATCCTACCACGAACGTAACCGTACTTACCAATATTACTGAGCTTTCTGGATTGAGCCCTACAGTCAACCGAGCCGAGTTGCCTGGTGACATGGCTCAGGAGATGTATCACGTAGAGAAGGTTTGAAGCCAAGGACCGGTATAAGTACCACTTTGGGCGTGTTGCAAGTAAGATCGCGGCCAGCTGTGTGCTGAGAGCATAAAACATGTAACACCTGTCTCAATTAGTAATAAAAATAATGAAGGCGGAAGATTGTGGTTGCAACACACGAATCGATAGTCTACCACATATGTGCGGTGATGGCAGCGACTCTGTTGGAGTTGCTCAGCCAATACGCATAGAGCTTTGAGTCTACCATCGAAAGTAGGATACACATTGGTATCTCGATAGCCAGCGCAATCGCGCAGGAGATGAACGCGGGACGTGCGATACCTACAGGCGTGGTGTTAGCAAGCACACTATACTCCACAGGCTGAACAGTAAACTCACAGAGAAGGTGCTGCTTAGCGGCTCTTAAATGCCGCTCATCAACGCCAATACGCCTCCTTCAATTGCCCCGTTCATGTCTGATGAAAGCTAGGGATGTCTGCTCAAGCGCTTGCACCGGAACCATGACTAGGCCCTAGCGGATGGTACTAAAGACTCCCCAAGCAGTCGCATAGTCGCTTTCCATCTCCATAGTAGTAGTGACGAGCTATAGATACAGAGCATTGCGTATAGCAGACTCAGCAAATGTCATGAGACTAGGACTTACAAGCACCATAAGTGCTTTGAAGCTTGGTCGTGCTGAGCCGCAGTCATCGGCGTGCCGCAAGATCTGTGTTGACAGCCACAGAAAATAGAACAACCCTACGAAAGCGGCGGTTAAACTAACTGCAAGCTGAATCTGAGCTTGGTCATTAATAGTAGGAATGTGGGACCTGACGTGAAACATTGAAATAATCAGGAAGTCTAAGATGATGTTGACTGCAAACTTGACCGAAATGATGACCAGAGGCACATCCAGCTTATCCAGCGCTCTTGTACAGCATGCAATCGCAGTCTCAAGGGAAGAAGCCAAGGAGGTGAATGCGCTGATGCGGACGTAGATGATAGATACCGCGCGGACTTCGGCTGGGACAAAGCTACCAGTGAAGCGTTCAGCCGCTCAGTAGAAAAAAAGGCTCAATAATGTTAGATATTGTTGCAAATAGCATACGGAGATACCAATTGAATTGATTTAGTTACTCCTATCAAGAGAAGCATTTGCTCACACTAATAGCTATAGAAGCGCATTACTGCAACAGCTCAGAAACAGCATTTGGCGTTCAATTCGTATAGCAATGCTCACTGCCATAAATAACAGGGCGTAAAAGTTACAAGAGCGTTTCGTGCGTTTCGCATGCGGGGACCCCTGTATCATCCTGCTAATACGTAACAGATACGTATCGTATGCGCAGGGATTCTGACACTCCCTCTCAGGGAGCATTATAGCATTCTGAATTACCCGTTTAGGACTCTATATAGAGTATCAGAAGGTGAGCTTTGTTTCGTCAACAAAAGCCTCAATAAAACCTAGAAAAACTCTATAAGAGAAAATAGGAAAGAACGTCTCTTTTTGCTATGCAAGTGCATAGTCGTACAAGGTCTGGGGATTACCCTTTTCAGATTCTAGACAGCTGGCTTGGCGTTGAGCTGCAGCAGTTCTATAAACCGATTGAATTTGACTCTCAGAAGTGGCTTTGTGAGGCCGTTAGCGGCTATATCCTCCATCGGAATGTGCTCTAGCTGGATAAGTCCTTCTTCTACTAGCTCTCTTCGATAGTGGTATGCTATAGCAACGTGCTTAAGCCTGCTGTATTACTCTGGATTTTATATAGTTACTTAAGCGCCCTGATTGTCTGCAAATAGCGTTATTAGAGTGCTATAAGAGATAGAGAGTTCTATTAGGAAGTGACTAATATAAACTATATGCTTTATAGCGTTAAATTAGCTAATATATTCTGCTTTTATATTAGAGGTTATAATTACTATTTAATACTTTAAGGACTAAATAATTAGCGCGCTAACAAGATATCCTATATAGCCAGAGGTTAATCTTATCTTATCTTGCAAAGTAAGGCCTACAAAGTCTGAATCTATATAAAAGATAGGCTCTGAATTCCTTATTCTAAAGAATTTAAGGCTATAGCTGAGCGTTCTATAGATATATTAAAAGACTCCTTTAGCTATACCTATATAGATAGCTGTTAGCCTAGCCAGAAATCAACTTAATAGTAATACAAGATATACTAGATTAGGCTAAGTGTCTTATATTCTGTACGTAAGACTTCTAATGATTAATTAATACTTAAGCTTATTACTTAGAGGCAGCAAATCATTGTTATTTACATCTATAGAGATTTGAGTACTATTCTGTATAGGCGTAGATTGTAGATTAGCGTTATTTATGTTGAAATAGTGTAGAACCTTCTTAAAATAGCTCTTCTAAGATAGGGTAATAGAGTCGCTATTTTGTATAATCTGAATGCTAAAATAGTCTTTTATAAGGCTTATATCCTTTGCAATGGCTCGAAACTAGAACAAGTCAATAGTCCATAGATTGCTAAAACGTAAGCTGAGGAATCTATCTACAGTGCGGCCAGCGCTCTACTCTATATACTCCTCCATCGAACACAAGGGGTGCTACTAGTTAACCTGCGCAGAGGATCCGACGGAGTATCCGAAGGGCCAGAAGCAGTAGCTTCCCTCTAGAGGAGATTGTACTTCCCTAAAGGGGTCATATCAATCTCCTGTTCTATGGTACTCGTATGAGGAGCCACGTGCTGTACGGATGCCTCTATCGGCGGCATAGTAGCTTGACAGCAAGAGTTCCGCGTGTTGTTATGGATACGTTATTCGCGCTGCCATCTAAGTGTGTAGCTGGTCCTGTATATTTTCTGCGTTATAGTAGAGGAGATACTCTATCTATTATATTACCCCCTTTTTTAAAAAATTGATTACTCTTAATTAAGAGTATAAGAAAGTAAGTCTACTCCTTTTAAATTCTGTTATTAAGCCTAGTAATTTTCTAGTTAGGTTAGTCTAAAAGTTAGTTATATATATATATAGCTAAATTTATTATATAATGTTTTTGTTAGATTTTCTTATACTTAGCTTTAATTTAATTAATTAAGTGCACTTTTTATTAGGTGCCTTTTAAAATAGTCTTTAAGTAAGTCCTTAAAGTCCTTAAAGTTTGTAATAAGGTAGTAGGTTAAGTCCTTTAGCTAACCTACTTACTTAGCTCACATCTTTAAGGCCTTGCCTATTTATTTAATATTAACTATATTCTTAACCTCTTATTCCTTTTCTCCTTTTGTTTCTACTAGCAAAGGCTATAAACATTCCTAGCCTAATAAGGGGTCAGCAAGGTCTTTAGTAAGCAGTAATACGTAAAAC